TATTACGTAGGAAAGAGTGTTTGTACGAATGAAATGTTCATATCAAAGTGCCTGCGAATGTATTAATTATAGTAAAAATAAAATGTAATAAAAATATATTCTTTGTGTTTTTTTTTCTACTGTCTTTTAGAGAAGAGATTTGGGGTGCTTTTCCATAGAAGAAAACAGAACTTGGGACAGAATTATTTTAGATTGTAGTTAACAAAGTTAAATTCTTACATCATTTTATTTCAGGAATTTCACCTTGACTGCACGGATGTCGTAGTGGTTTTAGCGGTCACCTAGCAGCTTCCTACTACGCTGTGTTGGGAGTTCGATCCCCACATGGGACAACACTTTGTGTGATCTGTTGAATAGTTACTCTGAGTCTGGGTGTTTTTTTTTGTGTCCATTTCATCTATGTTTGTAAAGTCTCATGCGACACAGGAGATATTCCTAGTGAGGAAGTTGTCTTTTATTATTAAAAAAAGAAAACATTGTCCATCCTTATACTTTACTTTAGATGTTTAAGTAACACGTGTTTAAAAGCCTGGTCGTGGTAACCAGACTGCTGATAAATTACACCCAGACACGGGCAAAATGTTTGTGGTCATCATAAAATCATTTGTCCTGAGTGGGAATCGAACCTGACCTCTGGCGTAACAGTCAGCTTCACTAACCAAGTGATCAGCCGCATGATGATAGATACACTGCAAAAGATACGTAGGTAAATTAAGTAAATTTTGAGACACGCAAAAAAGTAAAGAATATAAATTTTAGTCGGACTTCAATTTAGGTTGTCGTCTGCGGTATTTCCGGAACGAAACTCCCTTCAAACCATCAAGAAAAGAGCGTACTCCTTCCTAAAAGGCCGGCAACGCGTTTGTGACTCCTGAGTTGCAGACGTTCATGGGCGGCGATGGTGGAAGTGACCATCGCCGCCCATGAACGTCTGCAGGCGACCCTTCTGCTCGTCTGTCCACTCTAACAGATTTACAATTCTCTAGCACTCATGTTGCAAGATGTCCACTCCGTGAAAAAAAATGGCAACAATTTTTACCTTAATGTACCGCGGTCTTAACACTTTTGTTGGCAACTGTCCCATACCGAGGAACGCTTTTTGCTTTCCGGAACATATTCATATATCCATATTTCGTCACCATTTTCCTCCCATTTTCAAAACGTAGAGGCATCTCACGGCACCATTGCACACGTGCTTCTTTTCTATTTAGGAAAGCAAACGAGATATCTAACGACAACAAAGCCTCATCATTCTAAGATGTTCATGTAATAATGTGTAAACACTAAGAGAACTGATGCCTAAGATTTTCTCTATGTCCCTGTATGTAATTCGTGGCACAAGTATTTTAGTAGTCCACACATTTTCAGCATTGACTGCTGTTGGCGGGCTTCCACTTCTGTCATGATCCTTAAGGCTAATTTTCTCTTTTTCAAATTTGTTAAACCATCTAAAAATTGTTGCCCGAGAAGGAGCAGACTCACCTTAAGCTGATTTTATACGTTCTAAGCTTAAACCTTCAGATAAACCACATTTAAAGTCATAATATATCATATCACGCAAATGCTTACGTTTCAGCTCCATTGTAGCAAACGAAAAAAGCGGGAAATGATGACAGTATACCTACTATTTATTATTTTTTTATGTTTGTTGTAAATGGCCTTTTGTGTTCGATTTTTTAATAAATTTGTCTTTTAATAATATATGACACAGATGCGTTCCATTTTAAAATTTCGAGCATATCAAAAGTTATATAGTGACCTACGTAATTGATAACATACAATAAACCTTATCGCAATCTGCGAATTCTTGCAAACAAGAAGACTCATTTATTAACCGACGTTTTGCTCCATTGTTTGAAGAAAAAAATTAACATCTAAGAGTGAAAACTAAGGAATAAAGAACAGTTTTGTTACAGTTCATCAGGGTTTTGGGGCATCGAAGTCGGTTATACTTTTTATAATCCATACTTCCATAATTTCTGAAAGTAGCGCCACTGAATGAAAAGTTAAGAAGTAATAGGTTATCTTGGTATGGACATGTCATGCGGAGGGATGAGGAAAATGTGGCGAAGAAAGTTTTAGGTATGAGAGTTGAAGGGTACAAGAGAAGAGGCAGACCGAAGAAGAGATGGATGGACTGCGTCATTGAGGATATGGCCAGGAAGGGCGTAAACAGTGAGATGACGCATGACAGAGTAGAATGGAATAATCATACATACTGCGCCGACCCCAAATAAAAATTGGGAAAAGGGTAGGCAGATGATGACTTCCATACTTTAATTAGAAACGGGCAAGTGAGTTTGTTTGTTTATTTGTTACGCTTTCACGCTTAAACCACTAAACCGATTTGAAATATTCTTGACCCATGGAAAGCTACGTTATCAGCGAGTAACAAAGGCTAATTACACGCTTTATCATAACAAACATACAAGTAAAGCTAATCTTCACTTGTATGTTTGTTTGTAAGCGACTCCTTTGGGCGTGATTTTGACTGATTTTAAACGGTCAGAATTCGTTCAAACTTTGTAGATATATCGAGGGCCGATGACAATACACTAATACAAAAAAATAAAAACAAAAAATAAAAAAAGGGGGGTGTTTTTTACTATTGACAAGAGGCACCCCACGCTTTTTTCAAATTTATTAAAATTTATTTTCTATTTTTTAGTTTGGTTTTCTATAAAAAGCGTGTTTTTTAGCTTTTTAAAACTGTTATTTTTTATTTTTACAGCGATAACCGACGGGTACACGCTGGCGGAGCCGCGGGCAAAAGTTAGTGTCAATTAAATTAACTAAAAAAATAGGCATCAAATTTCACTGCATTGACCAGTTGATAACCATATCCTCTCCAATCATAGGATGGACATATAAATACACGACTCTGCCCTCTTGGAGCAAATTTACCGTCTTCCTTTATCCCGTCGTAGAACTATTACATGTTCAAGGAGGGTTGGCGGCAGACGACCGGTCATCAAATTAAGAGAACGAACTCGTATTGCGTGACCCATTTCTACAATTTTTAACCCCCGTCGGTGACGTTCATGTCAAGAAAAAGTTAAATATGGCTGAGTCATATTGCACGGATGGCGTAGTGTTTTAAGCGGTCGCCACGCCGCTTCCTACTACACCGAGTGTTGTGGGTTCAAACCCCACATGGGACGACACTTTGTGTGATCCACAAATTGTTGTTCTGCGTCTGGATGTTCATTGTGTCCGTTTCATGTATGTTTGTAAAGTCCCCCGCGACACAGGATATTTTCCTAATGCGGGAGTTGTGTATTTAAACAATTTTATTTAATTTAATGTTAATTTGTTTATTGATCGAAAATCGAAAAAGCGCGAACTTTCCTTAGAGGATAATTACTACGTGAAGAAAAGCCAAGCCTTCCCTTCACCTCTGTTACTAAACGTGGTATTTTAAAGTCTACCCTATTCATTCTGAACGCGTCACATAGTTTAAATAAGTACTTATGTTCCCTAACCAGTTTTTTTTTAAGAAAAAAGAAAAGACTACGGCTCAATCGTAAAATAAAACTTCATAAAGATAATTTTAACAAATAGAATGATTACCGATTATGTTACATCCATCTATCGTCCTATTATGTCAGCATCTAGTATTTATTTTCTTTTGGTAAGTACATATAAGCATCTCAATTACTTACGACACTCATTCTCAAGTACACATAAGTATTTTAATGACAAAACAATACTGTATTTTTAAGTGCATGCAAAAAAATCTTGTCTAATTCCAGACATTCCAGTAAATGTCAGCGATCACACACGGTCCTCTTGCACGTGTTGAGAATGTTGCATGCTTTGTGTTATTTCTATCTTAAGACGAAACGTCTAAAGTTTACAAGTATTTTGGGCGTAGTCTATATATATATATATATAAGAGATTTCCACGTAGGTATATAGTCACTCATCACGATATCTCTGGAACCATTAGAGCTAAAGACTTGAAATTTGGTAGGAATATTCTTTTCACCGAGTAGAGGTCAGCTAAGAACGGATTTTAAGAAATTCAATTATTTTTTTTTAAATAATGTAAATAGCAAAACAACGTTTGCAGGGTCAGCTAGTGTTAAATAAAACTTTGCTATTAAGGTTTGAAACGTTTAGTATGTGCCGTATTTGATTATTTACTTAAAATAAATAAATTGGTTATATTTTAATGTTCTGGGCATTGGTTTTGTGATAAAAAAAAAGATAATCATAATAAATAGAGAAGAAAACATATATATAGAATGTTAAAAAGTAAAAAAACTAGTGTATTAACTGTAAAACACGGTTCCCATGATGATCATTTTAACAGTTTTAGTGTAGTCATTTCCATGTTTAATAAACTTCAATTTAGTATTTTAAACATTTTACAATTAAAACAATTTTCACTTGATACAGTTTTATATCCGATCATATTTGCGAATTAATTGATTTATGATCATATAAGCGTTCACACGTACACAACGAAATTCGCAATTTTCATTCGATTTTTTTAATGCTGGACGAACTTATTTCAGCAAAGGATTAAAATACGACAAAGATTTTATATTTGTTATAAATATCCCCGCTTACCTATTTTTCCTTTTAAAAAAATGGTATTTGTATTCATCTTATAAACCAATTTACGCTTCCAAGTTGATAAAACGACTAAAAACATTTTTAACACCTACTCAAAAAAAAAACCGGATCGCTCAATATGTTGCTTATAAAGTAATAAAATTGGCCTATAAGGGTCCACATGACCCAATTAGACCCAACTTGATGTTACAGGATTAACTCAGGCACCCCAGAGAAAATCTTGAATTGAATGATTTAACTCCATAGGACATGATTCGATTGAAAACCTAGATACATATATTGTGCGTTTAAACTAATCACACAACATTGACTGCTACATACACTTGCGTACGCGCAGGTCGCGCAGTCTACCCGACACCGCCGCGAATGACGGTCGTATATTTTTCTAAATTCCGTTTACGTGGAAATAAATAAAAGAAATGACAAGTAAAGTAAACGGTAATATGGACGAGTGGGTCCGGGCCCCTCCTCCGCCAGGAACCTTTTGCCAGAGGTTTGGCAATGTGATCTACAATCCTGAAGAGAACAGCATCTTGGGGAGAACGCCGAAACGATGGGGTAAGTCTTCATGTTACTGATGACACCTTAATTGAAATATAACACCCTCGTTTGATACTTTTGTCTGCTATTTATTTTTTGATAATTCTGATATTAAAGATTTTTTGATAATTCTGAAGATTCGTGCAGAGACTGACTTAAAGTCTTATAGGCTTTTTGACGGACAACCTTTGGGTGATCCAGAGGACACAGAAAGTAGATGTATTGAAAATATTATTGTTAAATAAATATAAAATAATACGTACATACACACACATATATAAAACAGACATAAAATAGTTATTACGCTTTTAAACTTTCTGTATTTGAGTAAAGGAAAGGGTGAGCTCGGAAATAATTCAGAGATTTAATAATAATATTAGCAGTACAATAAAATTTGTGACACAATATAAAGGAGAATTCATGAACAATACAAATTGTCAATTTTCTTTATTTATTTTTGTATTTAACATAAAGCTTTTTTTCGTGAGGATTAAAGAAAAATTATAAGTAAAGGTATCAGGATCAACTATGTACCTAAATGAATATCGTCAATCGCCATTCATTAATGTGAAATTTAATTATTTTTAGGAGCTACAATAAACCAATTGACTTCCGATTTCTACATGAATACTTGCTAAATTGTTGTTAAAAAGAAAGAGTCCGCTCAAAACAGACATTTCACCCTTGCATAAATTCCCAAGAAGCTGAATTTTTACACGAACGTTAGGGATACAATTATAATTAAAATGTTAAAATTACCCATCGATCCCATGTTTGGATTTTTTTTTATGCAAGGTCAAGTTCGTAAAGGTGGGGTTTTTGGATTTTTTTAGCGAAACGTTCATGTCAATGCATGCAATTATCTACATAATTAGTCCTCACACTTTATCACCATTTTAAGATTCACCATTTCTGAGAGAAAGCGATTATAAAACTTAATAAAATCAGATTTTTGGAAATTTATGCAAGGGTGCCTCTTTTTCGGGCTAACTTGACCGAGCTAAAATACTGTTACTTTTCTTGGCAAACACATAAAAACTCTAAAAATATACTATCAAATAAGCGACAAAAAAATATGAAATTTTCACATCGCGGTAATAAATGCCTATTGACGATATGTAGATGAGTTGTTTACAGTGAATTGATTTATATTACACCTGATTTTGCAAAACACGCGCTGGCTCCATGCAGATTAATTATTAATAAATAAAGCTAGGTTTATGAAAACAAATCCCGTTTTCCTCATGGACCAACTATGTACGCACAACTAGTTGTGCCATCCCAGAATATGTTCCTAATGGCACAACTAAGCACAACTGATTTACTATAATCATTCCTTTTAGCATAACTACAGGAGGATATAAATGGATTTATTACTAACTAACTAAGATATTGATAATTATGTTCGCCACTTCTGTCGTATCTTTGTATATTAACAAATAGAATATTTTAAATGCCATTTCATGTCATTTATTAACAGTGATTATTTAAAAATTATTGATATATAATTTTCGTGCATACGCTGGCGTATATCCTGACTTTAAACATGTCTATGTCTATGCCAGAAGACGAAGAACTTATATACGTCGATAATAAAAGTGGAAAGATGGCTTGATACGGCCACTATCAGCACCATTGGGTTCGAAGGTGCAAGAGGGGTGCGTCTATACTGCGATGTTCTAAATATCGTAAAACTAATTGTCGAGGATGCATAACTAATCAGGTAAATTTGGATATTTTTATAAAAGTAAGTTTAGGTTTTGTTCTGTAGAATATCTACTAATAAAGTTTGAGTTTTTGTTTTAGAACTCTAAAGTAATCAATTTTAAGGAGCATTCGTGGGACGTTAATAAATTAGAAAATATTTATTTGAAAAAGAAAGCTGCAATAAAAGACGCTGTTAGCAATTCTGACAAACCTATTCCTCAACCATAAAGACAGTGTAGCAGATATGGGTGGTATAGGACTAGATTTAATACATTCTGTTCCTCCTGTTTTCTAGTATAAAGACTAGTCTGTATAAGGCTAGGAATGAGTCTGTTGGATCGAATAAAACAGTATTCAAACGTTTTGAAGAAGTGGAACAACACTCGTATTTTTAACCGACTTCAAAAACAAAAGACGAGGTTATCAATTCGTCTGTATTTATTTTTGTTTTTTTTTTTAATGTTTGACCGATTTTCAAAATTAAGCAAATTATACTTATTACATATGTTGATCATTAACATATGTAAAAAGTATAATATATACCATATTAAATGCTTAGGATAAACAACGGCGAATCTTTGTACATCGATTGTTATTAGTTGGGTATCTCGGAACTACTATTAATGAAAATTGTTTAGTTGTGCATGATTTTGTGCATGAATGGGAATGATTTAAAAAACATATTCCTCATGAGACAACTAGTTGTGTATACATAGTTGGTCCATGAGGAAACCAGGAAACAAATGAATTCAAAGTCAATAGAGATACAGTCCGTGTGGTGACGGATTAAGAATACAGAGCGTCACTACCCTATTCATCCCGTGGGTGTCGTAAGAGGCGACTAAGGAAGCAAACTACGCAGGACAACAGCACTGCAGAGAGAAGGAAAACTTGAAACAAACCCTATACAAACCCGTCTGGCCAGCGTGGTATAGTAGGCCAAACCCTCCTTTATAAGGAGAGGCCTATGTCCAGCAGTGGACTAGTAAAGGCTGTTGATGTGATGTGAGGTACATTTTCAACATACTTCAATTAGGAGAAACTTCTCTAATCATTATTTTCGAAAGCGATTCTTTCTGTTGTTTTGATTAAAGACTGTTTCAAGTAGATACAACTTTTTAAACTTTATCACATTGAAGTTGGTGATAATTGAATTACATTTTTAAAGTAATATTTTCCTTTTTAAAGTCTACACGTTTTCCTTCCAAAGAAGCTCCGGCAAGTTAACCAAACTTTTTTGTTAAAAAGAAATGAATTCCAGTTATTTTAACACACTGTTGTGTTTTAGTTGCGCTGTTTATACATTTATTCCAGTCTCACGAAAGATTAAAAAAAAACATCTCGTCCAAAATCTTTGATTTGTTGTTTGAGATAAAATGCTATGTGGTGTTTGGAATTTTATCAAGCTAAACAGTTTGTTTTTGTTTGAACACGCCATAGGTGCTAATTCTGTTGTTCGAAAACTCTCTAAACTAAACTAAAAATCCCTACAACAAAAATTGTCCTGCCAAATTCTACGTTTTCAGAACAGGAAACGTTATTTAACAGGACGAAACAAATTTTTAGTGATTTTTAGTTTAGTTTAGAGAGTTTTGGAACAACAGAATTAGCACCAATGTCTATTAAGAACTTTTATTCAAATTTTAAATTGATTTCAAATCTAAGTTCTCAGATTTTTCATTCTTGAAGAAGGTTATATCATAACATCACGATACGATACTTACAAGTGGAGCAGGGAAGATAAACTCGAGTTGAACTAAAGGAGGAAAGACTTTTCCCTTGTTGATATTTATATTTTTTTACTTTGGACAATCAAACTTTTGCAATTAGGTATTAGCTCGACTGGAATGATACCACAAAAATCATCAAAACAATGTTGTGGTATATCTAATGATGCCATTGTATCTATCTATTAATTAAAAAAAAAATGGCCGTGAGTTTACTTGCCCTTTCTTCTCATGAGGCTCAGCCCCTTGGAAACGGGCGGTTGTAGATCGGCATAGGCATATAAAAGATTTACCATAGTCATAATTTTAGGTATAATGTCGGAAGGTGACGGATGAATACACGGTGTCACCACCCCTATTCATCCCGTGGGTGTCGTAACAGCACTGCAAAGGTAAAGAAAACTGGAAACAAACCCAATACCAACCCGTCTGACCAGCGTAGTACAGTAGGCCAAAACCTTCTGTCTAAGGAGAGGTCTACGAGTATGTCCAGCAGTGGACTATATTTATTTTGCTAAATATTTGACAAAATGCAGATTGTTGCTTTTGTGTGTGTTGGTCTAGAACTTTATCGTCTACATAAAAGACGATTTCAAACAATTTTAATTTTTTTATGAAATAAAAATAAGTATTTTTTTTTGTATGTCCGTGTGGTGACGGATTAAGAATACAGAGTGTCACCACCCCTATTCATCCCGTGGGTGTCGTAAGAGCTGACTAAGGGAAAAAACTACGCAGGACAACAGCACTGCAGAGAGAAGGAAAACTTGACACAAACCCTATACCAACCCGTCTGGCCAGCGTGGTATAGTAGGCCAAAACCTCCTTTCTAAGGAGAGGCTTATGTCCAGCAGTGGACTATTAAAGGCTGTTGATGATGATGATGATTTTTTTGTAGCTCCTCACCGAGTACTTCGGAATCACACAAAGGGTGGGTGTTGAAAAGTGCAAACCATAGAACAACCCAGGCAACCGGCGGACCGTGTAATGCTCTATGGGGCAAACAGATGTTGTGTATTATATTAAAAAAATATGAGAATGCGTTTTGACGGGCCTATTGGTTTAGTAGACTGCACGGATGGCGTAGTGGTTTAAGCGGTCGTCACGCCGCTTCCTACTACGCCGAGTGTTGTGGGTTCAAACCCCACATGGGACGACACTTTGTGTGAACCACAAGTTGTTGTTCTGAGTCTGGGTGTTCTTTGTGTCCGTTTCATGTATGTTTGTTAAGTCCCCCGCGACACAGGATATATTCCTAATGCGGGAGCTGTCTTTTTAAAAAAAAAAAAAAGTGGTGGAATTGGTTAGTGGTGGTAGTGATCCTGACAGCTTAGCCGGAGGTCGTGGATTGGATTCCAACCCAGGACTAACAATTGTGTAGTGTGTGATCATTTGTTCTGTATCTGGGTATAATTTAATCTATAACGTCATGTGTTTAGAAATATTTTAATATGTTTATCAGCAGTCTGGTTGTTAAGTACGGGCTCTGCCTAGTTTGGAATCAAACTGCCGTGTGTGAGATGTGAAAAGTTATTGTTATGATTGTTTTAATTGCCTTAGGAATCTAGTGTAACAGAGTTTCTT